CGAGAGGAACTGACAATCCACAGGCTGATATAGCTGGCCGAAATCGCTCCAATACGAGCGATTGTACTGCAGCAGCCCATCGCAGTGTTTCGGATCACCGTAGGGAACAGTTCTGGCGAATAGGTGTAGATGGACGCATAAACGCCGGTGATAGCACCTTTCGTGACCATCATCTGGATAATCGCTATCATCGGTGTCGCTGCAAAAAAAGCACATTTAGTTCCGCTCAAAGTAAATGTCCTTCACTACTGCTAAGGCCACCTTTACTTAGCGTCAAAAGTGCCTTTCGCGAAAGTTGCAAGTTATGCACCAGCCGGGCGGCACATATCGTAGGCATTATTTGACAAGCCAGAGTCAATGAAAAAATCTTCTAAAACTAACCGCTGTCGCCCATAAAATAATTCATCAGCAAGCAGAAGCCGGCAAGAAAATAACCTCCACTAAGAACTATGCGACGACCGGCCCTAAAGAAAATTTGAACCTTCTGACATCAGAATGGTTACATAGCACTTCATCATGCAATCGCATATCCCAATCTTTACAGCCTCTCACCTATCGATCAACAAATACACAATAAATAATGCAGGTATCTCGACAAGAGCTGAGAAAATGAAGTTGATATAAATATCACCGCCGAGGGCATTCGGTTTCATTGCCATACCGTAATACACCATAGAGACAACGGGCCTGAATCGAGACGGTACACGTGAATCTTCGGAACAGAAAGCTAATTTAAACCCCAACTCACCATAGGTAAAATGCCACAAGCGTACGTTTCCGTAATACCGGAGTCTTCATGAGATCCCACAATTTGTACTTCTTCGTGGTTTTTGCGCGATTAGAATCTTGCTCTGAGTCGAGTTGCTCCCACCTATAGAAGACTGCTATGAGTACTATCAAGTCATCAGGCGAGATATAGGGGATTTATGCCCGTAAAATCCACCATATGCCCACTTGAACATGTTTCCTTTAGTAAAACTTGAGAGAGAGCAACACAATACCATTTCTCAGGCAGAACTTCTCCATTCATTTTTGCAGCCTTCCGAAGCACCTTATCAGCATCATCAAAACGTCGCTGAGTTACCAGCCATCGAGCACTCTCTGGTACCAGCCTGAGAAAAAAGAAAACAGCTGAACATGCAGGATAGCGTGAAAATATGACCAGATAAGAAGAAGAGCAAGTGCTTCTGATCTATTTAACACACGCACACCTCCATTGCCTACTACCTAATGAAAGCGCTCCATCTTCCAATCACCTTCAGTGATCACATTTCACTTTCATTTTGGATGACACTTTAACCCCGCCTGAAAGTTGAAAAAAAAACAAAGTGAGGTGATGACGGAGCCAGTCGAAATCAATTCGATGCGAAACCAAAGGGATAAATGGTAAGGTTCAGCTACAACAGAGGAAATTGGCAAGTATTCAAAATGTGAACCTTTCCGGCCAATCCCCTATCATTGCCGTTTGCCACCTATGGAAAGCGTCTTTCATAAAAAAGATTTCTTGACAGCTTCTTCTTGTTCCAGCTATAACCCACGTACCCGTAGGACCGCCGCCTTTGTCATCGTTCACCGTTGCCACAATGTTCTGTCCCGGAATCTTCTGCTGTGAGCCTGACTTTAGTGAAGACCTTCTTGCTGACGTCTCTCCACTTCTTCACGGCTCCTCGCCGTCGCTTGCCTTGGTCTTCGAAGCTCAGTGCCTCCTTATTGAGTGATCCTGTTGCCTCCTTAGCACATGCGCCAATTGGATAAGGGCAGTCTGCATGGCCGTACTATCCTCCTTTTCGAGTCGGTACAGTCGCGTCCAGCCGCAGGCCCATCTCAGCATCCTCATCTCAGCGGAGTGCAGCTGCCTTTCGTGATTCTTGTTCAGGGGCCAGCACTCGCTGCCGTATAGCATCGCAGGCCTTATCACTGTCCGGTACACCTTTCCTTTGAGCGTTCTGGAGCACCTTCGATCGCAGAGGATTCCAGTAGACTCCCTCTATTCTATCCACGCTGCATTGACCCGTGCCCTTATCCTCCTGATCCATGCTTTAGCGGCTCCCGAGCTCGCAAGTCCTCCACTCTGGACGATTTCCTCTTGAGGATCCATAATTCATTGTCTGCGCCCTGTTCGAATATCGGAACGTGATTTTCTTCGCGACAACCGGATCCAACTCTCTGCCATAATATCTCCCTCCTGCCATTCTGCACCTTGGCCTTGAAGTTCTTCTCTGCTATCCGCTATCAGGGCGATGTCGTCAGCGTAGAGGATGGTCTTCAGTGGTCCTTCCATGAGGCCCCTTCACCATGAAATCCAGGTTAGAAAGAAGAGAGACTATGGAGGGCTCAGAACTGATCTTTGGTGTCTAACCTCTGCCAGGCCGAGCGTAGAGCAGTCTTGGCCTTATTGTACGAATCCTACATGAGAGAGAGGTGAGTTGTCCTAGGACGTTCCTTTTTCTGATCGCTCTCCACAGTACTGCTCGCGGAAGCTTCTTCCAGAAGGAGAAGGCTAGGCAGCGAAGTTGATGCTTTTCTCAACACTTCTCCATCATCTGTCAAGCTATAAAGATGGCATTCGCTAGGGAAAATTCAGGCATCAACCAGAACCCAAAGAATCCTTCTTCATCAACAGTAAGCACTGTTCGTTAGCCTCATCAGTTTAATGCAACTAGGCAGCAAGCATGTAGCATAACTTGCCTTCTAAGCTAAAGAAGGATTGTAGGATAACTTCGGTGGTCGAAGAAGGAGAAATACAAATGGCACGAGAACCTCTCGAACCGTAAGGGTGTGGGATGATGCGCGTTTCGAAGCGATGAGTATGTCCTTAGCGGCCTAGCAAGGCTGTACCACGCCGCTCACGCCTCTGCACGTTCGCCGATAAGCAACCTCTTGCCATCTGACTACTCGTTCAGCAGAGAGAGCGTTATAGCTGAAGAGGGCTTTTACAATGAGCACTACGAGCTGTTATCGGTAGTGCTCTTTTTCTCAAAGGCAACAAAGGGATCAAATGTGCGATGCTCTTCCTGTCTGGGCTACAGTTGACTGCAATACAATGTTTGTAATCTGCGAACTCACCAATAATAGCTGAGAAAGATGAGAGCAGGTGAAACGATTGCTAATTGCAAATACCGGTAATCCGTAAGAAAATATCCTTCAATACCTAGTAAAACCTGAAACTGACTGAGTTAATGATTTACTGAACGAACTTAAAACTGATTGGATGGAGGACTTTATCTAACTGTCTAAGGTCAAATATAGAAATTGGCTTACTGCCATTTGGCCGCATCGTATAA